ATGCAAGAACAGGTTTAATGATTAATCAGATGGAACATTGTGGGTGTGGGGTAAGAATGTTAGCACTCTGTAATAATTCTTTAGTATATTACTTGTGTGGCGTAGAAGATAATTAACCATGAATGTAATTATGTAGAATGTTAACACTCTGTAATAATTCTGTAGTATATTACTTGTGTGGTGTAGAGGATAATTATTTATCTAGAGATATTGCTTAGGATTTAAAAGTTGTAAAATGATGTCATGGGGTAGGACTAGATAAGTCTAACTTCTTCCTACTCCGTTCAAGTATGTACTAGGTATAAGTAAATTGATATTGGATTAGTATTGTTGGATATGAGTGAAATTACATGTGTTGACATATCAACTGTTTTTACATGCTTGAATGAATAAATCAAATCAAACCTGAACCTCCATTTTTAAATTGAGGTTTACCATTTAACTGAAGGGAAGTTAAGCTTAAGCTAATAGATGCTGCTTTCTTTCCCAGCAATAAGAAGTGCAAGCTATTTTCTGTTCATATATTTGTAGCTCTACTTCCTCTGGTACAGACCCGCACCCTCAAACATTTCATGCTAACTTTCTCATTTAAATACACTGTGGTCCAAGCAGCTGAACATACGTGCGCTATGTCATCCAAACAGCTGAAGATATACTTCCTTGCTTCCTTTGATTTCATTCCCGTCTCTGTCTCATGCTCCTCTGTTGACTGCAGTAAAAGAAAAAGTTTAATGGAGACATAAGAACTGAATTCAATAAATCAGTTTACATGCTCAGTTATGTTTTGGTTTTAATAATTTATTCCTATAAACAGTGTCATTCATGCTATTGAGGTTGGTGTGTCTAAACGGAAATACTGGCAATTTTTTAAGGTGTGTGAATGCTCCTCACCTTTAGTCTCCATGGTGCATAAAGTGAGTCGGACTCTCTGCAAAAGAACCGCAGCGTCTTTGTCCCTGCGTTCAATAGACGTTCTCCTGGCAAACCTTGTGTCTGAGAAATGTAACGAATCTGTTGGACATAAGGAGGGAGAAAGGAGAATGTGAAAAGATAAATCTGGCAGGTACAGAAAAGGCTATTCTCAGTGGTTTAAGGTGGAATTACCACTTTCTATTAAATGGTCAACATACATGCGCATTCTGAACATGTCACTGCCACAGTGAATACCAGTTCATAGTTAATTACTTGTAATGGCTCCATCACTACTACATTTTATTTCAACACACACTTATGTACTGAAGATAATTTATAAAGTGACATCAGCCCATCAGGTCAATCAGATCCTTTGATAATTAGTGTGTGGATGCACACACAGTGGGGACAGCTGCTTAAAGATGACATTCTTGACTCAAGACCCTGAACCAAGTGTTGGCTTGTGTTTATGATCTCTGAAAGGAATCAGGGTGATTTCATATAAACTCTGATAACAAGGTTCCTACAGTCTCCATGCTGAATATTTTGCTTGGTAATGATGCGTGTCACTCAGATGCTGTGGAAGAATGCCACACACAGGTTTATGAGAGCAGACCAGTGAGAGGCCTGACGTCAATCACACCCAAGTATAAAGAACAGCAGCAGTTAGGCTAGATACAAACAGACATTTGCCCTAAGTGGAAAAACACAGCTCCTCTCCTTCATCTGTACTGGGTGAAGTCTGTTAAATGCATTAGCACCACAGGCTAGTCCCCAGTGTTGCATGGCTCTGGTTCACCTTTTTTCTGCAACGCAGTGTGATGTCATCCAGCAAGATATTATGCAGTCATTCCTGGTAGATTATTTTGTGCCAAAAACAGCAGTTCTGCTGTTTACCTTGAGAGCCAGAGCCGTTAAAATAGAAAAGTAGTCAATGGAGATGTTGCCGCCACTCTCTTCTTTAATCCACTCTGGCAATATCACAACAACCAAAGATAAAACAGCTGCTACTAACTTTCCTGGTTGTAAAATCTGTCTGTGAATAATAGGTTTTATGCAGGAAGTCCATTCCTCCTACTGGACTTCCTGGATAATATTTCATTGTCCCACCAATATTTAAAACAACACAGCCTCAACATTATAGACTCTTGTGTTGTTATTACGCAGGGCAAATGTGTGAGAGACTCAAGCCTTTCAGTAGTGTTAAGCAATAAGAGCAAACAAAGAGCCACATTGTGAAGAGGTCACTGGACATATTCAAATGTACTGTAGCAGATTACAGATGTGAATATGCCCAGTGATCTCTTCACTGTAGCAGATTACAGACTGGCGTAATTATAATAAGGTCAGTCTCTCACATTCTCTTTGAAATACACAAATCTAGATGCAAGGCAGACAAACATGTCAGTCCTCAGCTCTTGGTTTATATGACTTGTCTACCCCACATATCCACAAACAGATTCTTTAAAATTTCCAATACATAAGAGTTCCATTAAAATTCTGATAAAATGGAGAGGCTGAAAATGCCAAATTCCCCAAAACAAACATGTAAAAGAGTAGGGAAAATATGCACAGTGACACCAGCAAAAAGCACCAAAAACCAGGCTCATCTGCTACATTCTAGCTATAGAGCTGTCAGCACTGTAGCTCCCCAAGTGCAGGTCTGAATCAGTTCCTACCCTGTAGTTCAGCAACATCTTGTAAACAGGAACAGACACAAAAAGACAACACAGCCAGTGAGAGTGGGTGGAAAAAATGTTGTGATGGGAAAACCCAAAGGCATGTCTGCAGAGATCTCCGAAACCATTGAGATCAGTGGAGCAAAGCTACTGCTTCACGAAACATCTATCTGGCGAGCCTGGGCCCGCTGCAGAGTAGACAGGAGGTATAGGTAGCCTCTATTTAATAGTTGTCTGGATAACAATACATACTATAAGAGATGCATTTAAATGCTTTGCCTCAATACAATAATTAAGAGTACATCACAACTGAGAATAATGTATCCACATCCTCCTACATACCAAGTGCCCAAAGAATCTCTTACACATTTGTGACACTGGGATACAGTTTGTACCAGTTCATAAAGAGGAAAATTCCTTCCTGAGGCTTTACACTTCTGACCCAACTAAGCCCAATTCTTTTGGCTTCCTTTGGCCTTGCCTACATCCTCTTATTCTTACATATCCTTTGAGTTGCCAGCTAAGACAGTGAGTGTATAGAGAGGGCATAAAGAAAAATCAACAAGACAAAAATATGGGGTTGGAGTCACACCTAGCATCTGGGCTATTCATAGCCAATGAAATGCTGGCTGAAGCATGAGGTTTGTCACATCAAATAGATGAGCAGTCTCATGCTGCAACTGTGAAGTAAAAGATAGTATGACTGTAGGATGAGGTAAGGAGAGGAGGGAGGAAGAACCAGAGTTATAAATACAATATGCTGTGTGGGATGGAACAAGACCCCATGCAGAAAGATGGGAAGAAGTGGGAGGCAGCAACCGTTTGGTCAACTCGAGCCAAATTGCCATGTGGCTCCTGGATGACACCACGCCAGCAGTCCACTGCTGACCTGTATACTGACATCAAGTCAGTAGGCAACTTATTTTTGGTAATAAAATTTATAAGCTTGTCATGTTCAAGTTCTATTGTATATATCAGATGGATAGCACAGGTCAATTTATGATTATGCATATATTCATCCTTTAAAACAAAATTTCTTTCATTTGTAGAAGTCAATAAATGATGCAACACAGTCATATCTAAAACTACTGATATGAAGGACAAAACCAAAGGAGGTTCATTTATATCAAGTTGGAGTTGCTCATTTTTATTTTTTAAATCATGTATGATTTTCTGTCAGTTTACACATAACACAACTTGAATAACTAACTGCCTATATATGCATTGGACTTTGCTTCATTATAGGCTTAATACCTCCAGAAAGCACCAGAACTGCAATAAAATTTCTTTCCCCATTAGTACTATGCTCTTACTCTAACTGATTTTCTCATTCAATGGGCAATTCCTTCCATGACAGTGGGTAGGCAGTATTTCGCATATGGGATGGGTGTCAAGCACAGTTAACGGGGTTACAATAGGGATCCTCCAGGATGAGCTTCTGCCTTACTAAGTAACATTCAGTTAAAATGGGCCACTGTTATATGTTCAGTCATCCCAGAGAACACCCAGAGCTTAAAACTGTAGGTATTTTAATCAGCAGACAGTAACAAGATAGGTATAACATCTAAAATACTCTGAAGAAATTCGATTCTTGTTTCATCTCTGTAATTACTCACACCCTTTGCCAGCGTTTACATGGGCAGATTCAAATTCTATCATGCATTTTCATACAGTAGGTTTCCATCTCTATCTGATAGATACCTGCACGGACATTCCACACGTTCCACCTCAGTGGTTATCTTGCTTTTTATTTCATTGTCTCTCACACTTCCTATCTAAGCCAACTTTATTCCATCCACTTTTGTCACCTCATCAGCTCCAAGAAGTCCATTACCAAACTGAGGAGGCTACCTCCAGATATCTCTAAACCTGCTCTGCGACATGCTGACTGGCTCCTGCAAAAACAGATTCATCACAGTTAGACTGGTGCTGCGCATAAAGTCAAAAATCTCTTTCAGAGGTGTCATCTCCTGTCTCAGTCCTCAGGAAAGTGGAAAATGATGCCATGCCATAGAAACACTTTAGTATGAGTGCAGTCTGCAGTGTGGTTGAGTGCTATAATGTAGGGTTCTGCTGTGCATGGGACAAAGCAGGATCTGACTGAGTCTCTTTTGGCAGGCTCTGAGTAGATAAGGCTCCGGGGCAGGGCGAAAGCCGCTCAGCACAAGCCAGGATGAGTCTAATTCTGGGAAGATGCTGTCAGGGCTCCACCAGGAGTGAATGAGATCCGACAGCTCTTAATAGGCATACCAGCAATTTTAGGAACAAGCCTTGTCTCATGTCTCATTCAAAAAACCCATTATAGTTTGTTTTTTTTTTACCATGTGTAACTATACAGTTTTTCCTTTCCTCAACCTCAAACATTTCCTCTCCCTCTTATCCATGTCATCATTGTACAGAAAATCCCTTCAGTACCCTTAACACAATATTAGGCCTAGATTTCACACAGATTAAAATAACAGATTTTCCAAACTGTACACATTGCAACAATGCTGGATACTTTTCTTAGCATCCAGCCATCTGCCCTAAAATCTGCTGCTGAATGTTCCTGTCTGCCTTTAAGCCTTTGTCAAATGTCTCTTTGTAACACTTCCTTTTTGAGACTTAGACTAACGTAGTTATGGATCACATATCCTGTAAACTCCAACAGCAGTAGCCATGTCCGAGTCAGTAACCTGAAGTCAAACTCAACAGACGTGCCAAACCCACAACTCTGTGTGGTGAGAGAAGAGGCGGTAGAGAGGCTAAAACCTATAAATTCCAGGAAGGCCAACTGAAAAATGGGGCACCAGAAGAAAACTATTTCCATGTGGATATGATGCAGAGAGGAGAGACTGAGTCAGATGGTGAAAGCAGAACTAGGAGAGGCTAGTATGAGTTGCATAACAACCTGAAGAAAAGCAGAAGGTGCACAGAAGGCATGGAGAAGTGGAAACCCCCCCCCACCC